CCCCCGGCTGGCAAAAAGCGATGAGGAGGTTTCGATGGCCGACTTTTCGCAGTCTGCCTCAGTCCGCTTGCTACGATCGAACAGCTATAATTTTGGATGACTTCAATACCATGAAGGGCAAGTGTCGAAATTTTACGGAGACTTCGTCGCTGTCTCACGTCCTCCTCCTTTCTCAACCGGGCTTGGGGCCAGGAACGGTGGAACTGCAGGTTAGCACTATGCATTTTTCAGTTGCGTTTCTACGTGCACGTGAACCTATGACAGCTGTGTGATTTCACTTTCTCCAGCTACAGATTTCATTATCGTAAACTGATCCATGAGGAATGCTGATGTGGTAGCCATTGCATTCACGTTGGTGGACCCTGTACAAGAGATGGAAAGTAAGATCCGCCTGATAAAATGTCTGTATGCAAATGCTCCTATGTAAACCAAAAGATATCCCGTCTCAGCGACAACGCTGTGATGTTGAAAGGGCTGAGGACAATCGCTATAAATGTCGCCTTCTCAGACTTGCCTCAATGTAAGTTTGTGCCCCGAACCATGAATCATTCAAACAACCATGCGTATAGAAATACACTTCTTAGCGAATCCACATCGTGTTCAACGTCCTCAAAATGGAAAATTAAATCAGGAGTTCACAAGGACATCTTGAAATGTTGCGCCAAAAACAGTACGATTCTTTAGTTAATGCATAATTTATGTGACTAAAGTTTATCCACCTTGGACCTTTTGACTGAAAATCGCCTATTTTTCCACTGATTCTCTTGGACTCATCTCACGGATTCAATAACATTATGCCATTAAAAGTAGTAGCAGGAGCCATTTAGCAATCATAGCCGTTATGGTGATGAAATACGCCTGTTCATAAAATAACTTTGGAGTGTTTTCGCTAAAAGTGTACAGTCTGAAATGGATCAAGGGCTTAACCTTCACGAATGGTTTTCGAATTAATCCACTATTTCAGTGACTGCGATACTTTTCTAGGCAGCTTTCCTTTGTGTTTTTGCGCATGTAGAAATTTTTCCCGCCTGGTGGCAGTCGGTTGAAGTAGCAGTCTGTCGGTAAGCACTACTTTACGCAGAACCTGCTACTTCTGTTCTGTTCTGAAGAAGAACTAAAACGAACTCAAATGAGGTAGAATTCTTGCAAGATAAGGTTAGAAATTCATCGATTCATTTTTATCTGGATTTATTTTCAAAATTTTACGTTTTAAATAATTGTATTCTTGCCGTTCCAAAGTCCGCAAAATGTCTGGAGGCGAAGGAAACCGTAACAAGGTTAACAGTACACATACCTGCCGTTCAGAGTATTACCGTTAACATACCTTATTCCGGCTTATCGCCACCCGGGTTATCAAGAACGTAGGTTGTCAGATTGTCAAGGAACTGATGTAGAATGTAAAATCGGTAATAAGTACCTGTTTCACATCCTTTGGAGACTGTGGCGTAGCGGCACGACAGTGGCTGACAAAGATCGACAAAAAGACAACGAAGATACCAGTCAGAAACAGAATCGCTTTCTTTATGAACGGAGGAACACTGGGAGAACAATGCGATCATGGCATGTCACAAACGATAACTATGTCTATATTTGGATTTCACAATCGAAAATTGAAACTAAATGATGAGGTCTCAAACTACCAATTAGACATAATTGGATATTGGTCAACGCAGTGCAAGAGCTCTGGAATTCTGAGCCTGTGAGGGTGAACGCTGTTCTATTCAGGTGTTGACATCACGACACCCACCGACGCTGCTCTTAGTATTCTGGTAGAACCCAAGCTGCCTGAAGGCGGGCAACGGAACAGTAGCAATCATCCAGCAGAAATTAAAACTGACTGAAGCTTTAACCTTGCAAAAGGTTTCTGCGCCCAATTCGAACGGAGAATATGACTCAAACTAGGAGGACGCAAAGAGTACTTTGTGTGTAGTGCTGACTATGGAATCCCTCAGACCATTATGAGATTACATAATGAATTTTGTAGCAGATATTGGCAAGTGGAAAGATGTGATCGGAAAGAATAGCCTTAACGGCATTAACAATATCGATACGAAGGTCAACGCTATTTGAGCATCGGAGCTTGAATACCTGGTTAAAGAAGCATTCGCACGAAGGCCGATGATCGATCTGATAATCATACCGTCTGACAAACGACGCTCTGTAATAGATATTCGTGTCAAGAGAAGTGCAGAGCTGTCATCCGATCATCACCTAGCTGTTGGCACCCTCTGCTGCAAACGATAGATCAAGATGGAAGACGATTGAAGACCTAGAGGCAGAAGCAGCTAAAGAATCAAATGGAAAGATTGGTATGCGGATACGAGTGCGAAACTTGAAAATAACATCGCACGGCAGTTTGATCAGATCTGGATGATGACTTGTGCCACTTGTGGAAACTGAGTGGCAGCTCTTTAAGAGCGGCATAATCGAGGCTGCCGCCGAATGCTGCGGATGTAAACGGGTTGGCCTGCCGCCTGGAGGTCAGAAAAGATCTTCCTGATGGACAAGAGAGGTACAACTGGCAGTAAATTAAAAAAGTTGCATTCAAAAAATGGCTTGGAAGCAAGCAACCTTCAACTCGCAGGCAGTGCGAAGAAGTGCAGGGTTGCAATGAAAGCAGTGGCCAAAATGACAACTGATTCCTGGGTGTAGCTCCGTGAAAGCTTTATTCGAAAATGGCATGTTGTGGCTAAGGTCTGTCTGTCAAACTACAGTAGCAACAGCGAAGACATATGTGGACTGACGAACGGGAGTTGTAGTGCCCCTGTTCAAGAATGTAGTCGATAGGAAATTTCGAATTTTCTGGTCGGTAAAGTCTACAAATAGGTTTTATGTGGTGGAACTACGTACAAGGAGGTGCCGCGGAAGCACTTATGCTAAAATACAAAATGAGCAGTGTTTTTTTGAATCAGGTCGAAGAATCTTTGACCATATCTTCGCTTTATGTCAGTAAAAAGGAGTAATCAGGAGAATCCGATTTACAGATGCAACTTGGACCTAGATAAAGCCTATGACTTGATCCAGCGCAAAGTGCCATATCGGTGCTGCATGCATATGAAATCAATAATCAGTTGCTACGGGCCATCCAATCACTGTAGGTTGATAGGGTGCTGCATCAGAGTAAACAGCGTAAAGTCGATGCTTTCAGGGTTAGCGTTGGTCCAGCTACGACCTCTCCCTGTTTCTGTGCCACCTGGATAGGATGCTCAGGCGCAACAAGGGAGACGAGTGCATCAGCGTTGGAGATGTGAAGACGTAATGGCTGCTATTTGGAGATGGCTTTACTTTGTCAGCAATGTTCTGAAACTGATCTACAGCACCTTCGTTAAGTTCCGCAGCAGAGTGACGTGCCAGCATGTGAAAGGATATACATACGACGAAAACCTTAGTGATTTTTCGGTCTCTAGTTCTTTGCAGATAAACGGAGAACAAGTGGAGCTGGTGACAAAGTTAATGTTTCTTGGGATTGGATTCACTGGTAGTGAAAAAATGGAGAGGGCGGAAGAAAGATCGACTGGCAAATTAAAATCGCCAGCAATGTTCTGCGTGAACTAGCCCGATCCACTGTGACTAAAGCACACCTAAGTCTGAACACTAAGCTGTCCGTGTTTAGTCGATCTTCGTTTCTGTTAATCTACGGTCATCAGTCGTGGGGAAAAAATGAAAAACTTCGATCTTGGGTGCAAACGGCTGAAGTGGGCGGCTTTCCGCGTCATCACATGAGCCAGAGCATGCAAATCAAAGAAAGCCTTGGTAAACGGCCACTGTTTCTCCAGATTCAGAAGTTATGGCTGCGATGGTTGCAATTGCGTCCAGGAAGTAAGGCGAAGCGATTACGACTTGCATCTCAGGTGTGATGAACATTTGCATGGGCCAAATATATTGAAGAACTCTGTTTTAAACGCTGGCTGTTTTCTGTCGAAGCTCATACGAGGCAAAAAATCAGGAACGTGGAACGCACTGTCTGACGCATCTGCCTCCACGTGGCGAAAGAAGAAACGGTCATGGAATTTGAATTAAATAATTCATGGGCATTATCCTCTTAGTATGTAAATCGGTTTCGTTCCTCTACATATTGCATCGTTTCATTGCAACACATGTCAGAAGGCGTTTCTGTTTTGCATAGTTCCTTATGGTGATTCTGATTTAGATTCACCGATGGCGCTATTTGTGTCCTTGTACCAGAATGGTAAAGAGCCTAAGTAAGACATCACTTTTCTGTAACTTATGCATAGATCTGGATGTCAACCTTAAAATTCACTCAAGCCTTGTCTGCAGTATATACAATGAACCCTGACATCATCTCTTAGCAGGTATGGTTCTAGCAGCTCTCCACGCCAAATCAACGTGTATGTGTTTTATACTGTTTGCTTGGTACGTATGTTGGTGATCGTATAAATTGCACGGCTCATTTATACGTGGTGTAAATAAGTTGGCCAATCAGAAGACTGATCAATATCGACATTGCAGGCCGTGTATCAGGGGTCTCCTAGGAAAAAAACGTCAATGAACTTGACAAGTCCTTTAGGTGGTATGCAGCAGAAACCAGAACCAAAAAGCCTTTGAGAGTTCCTTCTTAAACGGAGATAACAGTTAATGCTAAACTCTCGTCCGTGCCACTGTCACAATGTTCATTTTTAGCATATAAGGCGGAACGTCCACAATGCAGACCATGGCCATGAAAGCTGCTAATTTTCCTTGAGAGGAAAGATGTAGATTTTGTTGATTGAGAGGAAGTCCTTTTCACAAATTTAGCATATTTCTCGATATTCTGAAAATCGCATTTGCCCAGCCGACAACCAATCTACATTAGCCTCATTAATGTATGAATATTTCATCTTGACTTTCAATAGTTGTTTTACTGTGCTTCAATAAACAATTTTGCTCATCACTGTCAACACTGCACTGCGGCTGCTGTCTCCTATGCCATTCTGTTTATAGTTAATGCAATCAGTGGACGGTTGTCAACCACAAAAATTAGCACTTGTAAAATGAGAGTATTAGCCGATGTTCGAAATGAGGCTGGTGTAGAAGTTGTTGTCCCTGAGACATCGTTGCTCTCTGTCGTTCATGCGGTATTTGCAGATATCCATCCAGATTCGGCTGCAGGATAAATGGCGACCCTGGTCGTCCGTGAATTTCAGTGTAAACCAGTATCCATTCTATAATAGAGAACTTGTGTTCAATGTTTAAAGGGATATGGTCCACGTAACTTCTGCATATTTTAAAAGTGTGGTCTGAAATTGAACGACTTCATGCACAATCAAGACAACACTATAAAAACGCTGTCATTGTAATCTAAAAGAAAGAGTTTCAGAATTCGCTGTGAATGGTTTCAAAGAGGTTGCACATCGAAGAGGTTGGAGTTTCGTCTATCAAATCTAATCATTCATATGTGCTTTCCTCACCAGTGTCTTTTGAAATGGGGAAAATAATGACTGAATGCTAGCAATGAGAGCACTGAATCAGAAGTAATCGATAGCCGCTGCGTTGCAAATGCAACCATTCTGAATGCCAATCATACGGAATGTATATCAAAGCTACTTTACATTCTGTGTTAATGAAACAGATGCCCCAATGATTTAATTGCAGTAGCTATTCACAGCAAGATGAACGATCTACAAACTTGTCGAGACATTTTTTGCCATTTCAGCACATACCATGTTTAATGCATAAACAATGATTGTGAAGTGAATGAATGCACATTCTTTACAACAAAAATTTCTGATACTGCTCTCAACGAATTGACTATGTTCACTAGCTCATGCTGTTTCAAGGCTGACATCTTTATTTAATCTCTTCGGAGAGCATACCAACCGTTGTCACCATAAAACGCTTAGCTGAATGTCTGCAATATTCTATCCAGGTCATTCACTTGGCAGGTGAACGCCCTGATCTACCATTGCTAGACACTACCTTTGAAGCACACCCACACAAACGTGTCATTATATGATATGAAAAATCTGTTATTCCTCATTAATGAATTTTCCAAATCACTGAGTCGTCTCTCGATGGAAACCTAAACACCCAAGTGAATGACGTTCACATCAGTCACAAATGTATGGCTCCTTTGTCGCGACTTGAATCATGCTTGTCGTTCACATTGATTTCAGTCCGTAGGACTAGAGGTTCGTATAGATCCACTCAGGAAGCCGGGAACACCAAATGCCATGCTTCATCTCAAGGTGTAGAAGCCAAGCGAGGAATATCGAATTTCTTTGAAATTAATAGCGTTTGGAGGAAAGGAAATAGTAGAAAAGTTCAATGGTTGTTTCGGTAAATGTAGACCTACAAATGTTTCTCAACAGAACAAAAAAGTGGAGAAATTATCCTTATATTTAAAGGGAATTGTTATCATGATATCACACTACACTCAACTATCGGGAAACTTTTCTCCTGGATTTTCTTGGATAGAGAGGCAGGCAATAGAAGAAAACTTCGCCTAATCAAATAGACTTCGTATAGATACTCGTGCCTCAGCCAAATTTTCGTTTCGAGAAGTGCGACAACTCAAATTTCCTTGGTTTGTCAGTTTCCTCGACCTTAAGGTTGAATTTCTTTCACCACATTATCCGGAGATGAGGAAGTTCTTTAAATGGAGGGATACGGGAACACATCGCTTCTATTCTGAAAGCCGAATTTGGATGCCGGAGCACATTTGTTTGTATGTTTGCTGTCAAAATTGAAGGAGAGATATCTGACTGGTTTTCTATTAACCGTTGGTTCGCCAGGGTAACGTACTTTCGCATTTCTTACTCAACATTATTCACGACTTTCATCTTTGAAACAGTGTTTACCCTGGCAAAGGCGAGATCTCATTCCAGAAGAGAGGCACAGTACAAGAAATTCGGCTAGATGTCTTGCTGACCTGAATGAAGATGATATGGTCCTGGTGAGTATTGCGAAAAGCCGGTTGCGTCATCTGAGGTTTACATATACAACACAGCTGCGAAAGCTGGCCCCTGTCTGAACGCCTGGAAGTCAAAAGTAGTGAAGTACCCATTCAGGACGACTGATCTAAAGGTGGAACGAGGAGGTGATGCCCTTAAGAAGGTTTGCTTGTTTAAATATCTCAGCTGCATTATTTCCAGCGATAGAACAACGTAGATACGGATCTACTTTTAGAGAAGAATATTTCTTTCTGCGATGTGGTAAACCGTGCCATGTAGCAAAAGTGTTGAAAAGCTGCGGAAACGGCGGAGACAAACCAGAGACGTTCCGCCAATGTATCTCATCCATCAATCCAGCTCAAGACGATGATTTCAGCAAAGAAACAAACCATTTAGGTGTGATAGAACTTCGATTAAAATTAGTTGTACTTCATTGTTGTCGCCTCGCTGAAAAACGTAAATTGGTCGATATTTACAGGCTACAATTTGAAGATAAGTCAACCTACCAAAAGGAGATAAAGAGGTATTTCAGTGTCCCTTTAATACCCAATTAGAAAACAGCAACATAGGCTGAGCTGGCAAAGATTACAGGTATGTTGTTTCACCAGCCAAAAATGCGCAATCGGAATCATAGGGAAGGTAGTCAAATTGCACTCGGTTACGAAACCATCTTAGCCATCCAAGAACAGAGGAATCAAGTCAAGAAGAAGCACTTGCACAATCGCACTGTGCTCTGGAACGCAGAGTACCCCCGACTCATTCCTACTGCCAACCTAAGCTACAGGGGGAGGACATGAATCTTTTACTGGAGAGTGAAATCAGGAATGTCGATAACCGGCACCGAAAATGGTGAAATCAAAGAGAAGGTTTGCAGAATCTCAAGGTGTAAAAAAGCCTCTGACATGGATCGAGTCCCCAAAAATAATTAAATATGGCGGAAGTAAACTGGTGGAAAAGCTCAAACCCTATTTATTCAAATGTAGAAGTTAAATGTTTCCTCGAAGAATGGAAACTAGAAAAATTGTCCCTATGTTTAACAAAGGACGGGCGACCGAGAGTTCGAACTCTCATGGTATTGTCCTACTGTGAACTCCAAGGAAACTGCTTCCCTCGCTTATCCTATAAAGGCTGATGGAAGCAATTACTAGAAGACTCAGCTCAAATTAGGTTCACTTACTCTTGCATTGACCAAGTGTTTACCTTTCGTTGAATCATTGTGCATTGCCGACGATTCCAGTTGTTCCGTTTGCCAGTTTTCTTGTCTTTAAAGCTGCATTTGATTCTGTAGATCGTTCAATTTTCTATTCCAACACAGTGTTGATAATAATGAAACTATCATTCTATTGGGAAGCGCATTTCAAGATATTCATTTCACTATCCTACTGATTTGGAGTATGCAAATGGATAGTTAAGGAAATGGGTTTATCGCCTAGCGACTTCCTCATGGAACATTGCCGCAGAACCTGACGACGCGTAAAAATTGGAGGTGAAAGGATAGATGAAGTCGAACAATCGAAGTGTTCTGGCTTTATCTTCTAGAACGGTGGTTGGAGCATAAGGAAGGATAGACAGTGGGAAGACTTAGGGTGCCACTGCATCCTGTTACGGCCACAGGTGTTAGGCGTGGATGAGAAAATTAAGAAACAGAGGTTGGACCTGCTAACAGACTGGTTGAACATAAACCATTTGCTCCAGCACCCGAGCTTCTTTTATGAGATAAAAAACAAGGCACACATGCAACAAAAATGCAGACCTACTGTAGGAAAGGAATGGTTCGTTCTACAATACAGTAACCGTTACCTTATGGAAAAGTTTTGAAAAACTGTGCATACGGCGAAGAGAGGCCATGCTTGCTCAATCGGCTCAACGTTATGATCTCAGCACGCACTTACCTGCCTTTGCTAGCTGTGAATTATTAGAATCGCACAGACTTCCATTTACTAAATATTAAGGAAAACCTTCGAACAAAAGTCATACAGGCTCATGCTACAGCGGCGATGTCGTTAGACAGAAAACACTGGGACAGGTAACTTGAAAAAATGACAACCGAAGTCAGCTTACAAGCAACGTTCATCATCAGCGACTCAACACTATATGTAGATAAGGTGCAGTAACACAATTCATGAAAGATATGGTGCTGGTATGTGAAGCCATGATAAATACACGATGTAGCATGTAAAACGTTGCTCTGATGAGCAGTTGCTTTGAAAGGATACCGAACCGATGGCGGGCATGGCAAACCCCATATTCAGTGTATGCATATGAATTTATTTTGTTTATGCTGAAGGCGAATGTCGTAGCAGTCAGTCGTCTCAACAGCGGCAGCGATCACCGTAAGAGGAAAAGAAGTTTGTTTCCCGAAGCAATCTGAACCGAAGCAAATGGCAAACTCTGCCTGAGGCATTTTCTCAGGAAATTTCAAAAAAAAACATGACACATGACGATGACCTGAATGAGCAAAATAAACTGTCAGCAGATTTGGATTGGAGTCGACACAGTCTTAAAGACACTTGAAGCGTGGCATCAGCAAACGTCACTGCGAATTTTTTTGAGTATTTTTGGTTGAAAAGTGGCATGGCGAGACTCAGCGTCCAATCACAATCAACATGCCATGTGCATTTGCCATGAATGAAAGAAAAATCAGGTTGTTCTGTGATTTGCAAATGTTAGCAGTTTATTGCCAACTCGTTACAAATGAATTAGCATCATCAGAGCCCAATTATGAACAATTAGAAAAATTTCTTGATTAAATTTCTACTAAGATTTACTTCTAGACATTTAGAAATTCTTATGTTGTAGATATAAATAAAAATTCAAATTTCCCATTGACGATCATTTTCAAAAATTTAATCGACAGTATTTCGACGAACAAATATTTGTCGAAATATTATCAATCAGATTTTTGAACAACATCATCGTGTACAACCGTGGGAAGTCAAAATACTTGTTATTATAATTTACAACACAGTTATTACAATATTGCAGTCAGAAAAGTTGTTATTCAACTAAAGAAAAGTAAGGGGAATTCAATCTTTTGTTAAGCACGAGAGCATTGTTATTTTGTTAACAAAATAATTCATTTAATATTTAACCCATAGCACATATGCAACGAGACAATCGAATTTCTTTTTTATACGTGTGCAACATCATGTTAACTTAAATATACTTTTTATGCCTCGATAACTTCACCGTTTGAACTTTGTTAACTTCGATAGCATGTTGCAAGAGAAGCAATCGAATCTAGGAATCGAATTTTGGAATTCAAACTCATGCCTCACCGTCAATGATTTCAGCCCGGCTGTGTCATTTCATAAAGGGGAACACAGAATCACTAGCAACCTCAGAATCAGAACGAATCGGAAAATGCCACTAGTGTGACGAAGGTTAAGAATGAAACTTAATTATTCTTAAGAATGCGCAAATAAATTTGGTGCGATGAAGTACAGAAGCACTTCATCGTGATTCCTTCTACAATAAATTTTGAAATCTAGTTTTACCGTCGCGCTAACTGAATCGCAGTCAGCTGTAGGCATGAAACTTACCGACTGTAGTGGTTTCAGAAATCCTCTGGGTAAATCGTCCAATTTCAAGATTTTGCTGAACGTCACGACCCATTCTCCCTGTGGCGGCGGGCAGAATTGTTCTGGCTTCTTCATTGCCTGCTGCACTTTCTGATCCGAAACGTACTTCACTGCCTTCAGGATCGTTTCTCTGCATTTATGCATGATAGAGCAATAGCGACTATAAGAGAAAAGCATTCAGCTGCGCAGTCAATTGAAAGAGGAAGCAAAATGCCATACCAAGATCCGAAACCTCCACATCCACTTACTGGATCCCAGCCGTGGCACGGGATCGGCTCATGAAACTCTTTGCCAGCAGCACTACGAGCCAGATGCTTCATCTCCACCTCCAGCTCTATCTTGACTCTGCTCAAGTCTTTCCTCACCTGAACGAGAAATGATAAAAACATTAATTTTATATGCACTTTGCATACCACAATGGTGCTATTGAAAAACAGTGGACCAGGGAACCGGGGATACTTTGGCCATATGACTAGATCTTTGACGTCCACTACGTAGTCAGTCCATCGAGATGACGCTTAAATGCAGGTGATGCGACTGTTTACTTGGCACATTTGACTACACTGTTTACCACATTTCGCCAACTTCCATCCTCTAATGACTAAACCATAATCCTCTTTGTCACCATTTTCCCAAAACGCTGGCAGCCCAATGTCGTGCCACAGTCCGTGAGATCCCCAAATAGCACTGCTAGAGCGACGTTCTCTACGAACGTCTGACTGACCTTTGTGATCGATGACTTCAGTGGCGAATATAAAAGGCAGAAACACTGAGAGTAAACAGAGGAGTGACGGAAAGAGGACCGAACGAGGAGCAGTAGCGGTAGTCATCAGGCCGCGTGTTGAGGTGAAAAGTGGGCAGCGACTTTGTGCCAAGTACGACTCAGTAAGAACAATGGTACAAAGAATGATATTTAGAGCGAACGACGACGAAAACCCGAATTGACATCTTGCTAATACCGCTATTTCTGGTTCAGTGGAACGCGCATTGGAACGGATTGCATAACTCAGGCTTGATCTGCACTGTGGGTTAGTCGAGAACCGGAAACTGAAGCACCGACGGTCGGTCTGTAATACTACGTTTCAGTTCATTTCTA